ACAGCATTTTGTTATAAGGAACATACAGTCGATCCCCCTATAAGATCATTGATTTTTCCGTTTTATCTGAATTACACGTTGTACGAGTCACTTAGATTTTACAAATATGTGAGCCGTTCACAGCCCGGCACACGTATTTGTAAAATCTAAGTGACTCGTACAACATGTAATTCAGATAAAACGAAAAAATCAATGATCTTATAGGGGGATCGACTGTAATTTTCTACATAAGAATCAGATTAAACAGCAACTGAATTATTATTGAAACATTTAAAATCAAATAATTGCAAAATTTCATTGTGAAAATTGCAAACTGAAAACAGGGTTATACCCTCAAATTATAAGGTATTCAGAAAAAAATATGCACAAATTTCAATGTGTTCGTGGATTCACAACACGTGAATGAGTAGAACGAATTTGTAACTTAAAACACAAGTTGTTTGCTTTCAATTGATATGGTATTATATATGAACAGTAGAACTCCAATTATTTGAGGTAATGTGGACCAAGGCTAACTTGGATAAAATAGATGGCCTTTAGCCATTACAGATAAAGAGAACTACCATATCTTTTACATTTGTAATTTTTTAAAGCTTTTTTTATATCTTAGTTAATTCAATTGTATATAAGAACAACAATTTTAAGAATAAAAATGTGTATAACAACTGCTACTTTACAACTGGTTAGAAATATAAATTAATAAACACTCAATAACCTAATAAACCAGCAACAATATTTTAAAGTGCAAACATTTTCACCCGTGTTGAACGGACATCATCAGGCAACAAACTCTTGAGAAAACACTGGGAATTACCAAATGTGTGTAGTGGGAAGCAGTGTATGACATAAGTCGAGAGGGGAGAGAACATATGTTTGGTAATCCCATGTTTTCTCAACAGTTTGTTGCCTCATGATGCCTGCTCAACACAGGCAAAATTTTGAACTTTCTTTAAAATATTGTTGCTGGTTTATTAGGTTATTGAAGTGTTTATTAATTTAAAAATGTGTATTACTGTAGTTAATATTAATATGAATGCTTTCTCACATTGAATTTAAATGATAAAAGATAGCAGAAACAAATCATCTTGCAATATATGTTATTTTAAATTTTCTTTTATGAAACATTTAATTTACAGGTTTGCCTTAGATAATGTGGAACCTCAGATAATTGTGATTCTACTGTAATTACTTTCTTCAGAATTATCAAAATGACTGGAGATAAACAGAACGACAGTTAGCAAGAAATAGAGACTTTTTGTGAGCTTCATTCAAACATGAAAAAAAAAAAAAAAATCAATGTTTCATGACTGTGGTTTAAAATAAAGATGATTTACAAGATCTTCGTTAGACTAGAAAAAGTTCCAACAGCAATATTTTTTTTTTTCTCTCTCTCTCAAAAAAGACACTGTGGCCAGGTTGGCCTTTTACAAGCATCTTAAATTAAAATCAACAAAACCAACAAAAAAGAATAAGTAAAACAAAAACAGGACATGAGCTGAGAAAGAAAATTACATTCTATTTCAAGTCCAAAAATTAACTGAGAACAAATATCACTGTGGCTTAAAGTTTTTTCCTTTTTTTACATTCTTTTTGAAGATTTCATAACTTGATATGTTACATAAATCGTTGCACAGACTATTCCAATAGAAGATTAATTGAAAGATCGGTGCAGATCTCCCCACCTCTAGTTTAACAATTGTGAGACTATATCCACAAATTATATGAGTATCTCGTGTTGATCTGCGATGTTCTCCTATACCAATTCCGAGGAAGCTATTTTCCTTCAGAAAGCCAGCTTCAGACTTACCAAAGACAATAACAGTGCTAGAATTTCATTCTGAGGGGGGCAGAGGTAGGATAAAAATTGATTTAGTGGGATGGCTGTTATATGCACATTTTATCATCAAACAAAGTAATTTTTAAAATTTAGTGATCAATTTTCAGTAACTCAAACTGGATATATGTGAATAAGCACTACACACAAAACCAATATCTGGAGTACAGTGTAGCAGGCATGCTTGGTTGAAATGCTCCTCACCCTGCTTGGGACTGGATGTAGGTTACTAATGCTATGGTGGTAAGCCCTTTAATGATGGAAGTCCAATGTTCTTTGAGGCTCGTGTTTAAAGGTTACCCTGTAGCATCTACATATTCTAAGTTCTGGTGGCTCTGATTCATAATGGGAATAGTATATACTCCAGGATGGAGGTGCATATCTGGATGGTCTTTAATGTTTTGGAGGAGGGTGAAAAAGCCTTCTGAAAGCTAAGTGAAAATTATTATTTCTGGCAATCTTGTAATGGGTGGCCAATCTGTCATGTAACTGCTTTATATGTATGTGTTGTGGGAGAGATTATTGGATGTGCCAGTAATGGCAGAGGAATGAAGACAAATTAGACAATGGTGTTTGCAGAGTAACCATGTCTGGCATACTGGGTGATAGTTTGGAGTAGGGCATGCACTTTTCAAAGCTAATACATGGCACTAGTATTGGGCTTTATGGATATGTTGCTTCCTGTTTCATCTGTCATACTGTGTTTACATTGCTTAAAATTGCTTTTTTACTTATTTAGATATTATTGAAATGGCTGGTTTAATTGCTGTGAACCTGTGTAACACCAATAATAAAAAATGACCAGGTTTGAAATTCACAAATTTTCGAATGACCCAATAAGAGAAAAAAATAAGAAAGGGAAGTAAAGATAAAAACACTAAATCAGTGAATACACTTGGATCAGTATCACACATTTTGATGAAAACAATTACAAAGTTACTAGTATGAGAAAGTTTATAGGATGCTTTCTAATTTATATGTTTTATGAAGTATAAGTAGAATAACTTATTTGATAAAAACTGCATGATGTACATTTGCTTGTTAGTGCTTTTCACAGGTTATATTTGATTACACACATAGTAAATAGCCTTTATCTAAAAATGCAAAAGTTCTTATCAATAAACTAGTTACAAAATACTGTCAGTAGTCAGTATGTTCAACTTTTTCTTTTATCATTAAATTTATAGCCTATTAATACCTCAATCTTAGTATAATGCATTTTTTTATATATTTATAAATAAATAATCGACACACGCTGGAAGAATACAATAATAAACTTTCTACAAACCTATAACCAGCGTGAAATATGTTCAATTGCTTACGCTAACATTTTCGGATCCCACTGGATTTTTCATCAGGCTATGTTCCATTCGTAATGATCCATTAGAATGCCAGCGGTCTTTGGAATGAAATTTCAAATATTGTATTTCGGGTTCCATTCGGAATCACGTGCCTTCCAACTGAAAACTCCAGTTGCTATGTAATGATCTTCTGCTTGTATGTCGCATTATGTATTTTTTACGAATAAATTTGTTTGAGCATGTCGGAAGTCGGAGAAAATGCGTGTAGCTATTTTTAACTTATTATAAATACCAATGTCGTTTTAATTTGAATCTCCCTTCCGTATTAGGGCTTGCCACGCCAAAGATAACGTGATTTCATCTTTGGAATTAATGGGGGTTGATGATTCGTAAGCTTTGCATATTTCTATTTGTTCTAACCATCTGAGTTGTGTATCATATATCACAACATCATATGTCCACATATGACGTTGTGATAAGGAGTTTGGCTCTCGTGAATTCCGCAGATATTTCCAGATCCGATGTATATACAGATAAAGCGGTGGTACTGTACATCTGTTGTGTATAATGTCCTTTTGGCGTTTCTTCCATCTTACTCCAACTGCCCTTTTCGTGGCTCCAATGTATACTAATTCTCTGTCGCATCGATGGTCAGTGAGTGGCACTGCATACACCCCAGGAAGTCTCTCTTGACTCGGCTTGTCTTTCTCATTGCACAGAAGATGGAAAATAGAGGGGCATCTTCTGTATGCTATGCGCACTCCTTGTTGTCTCGCGATTCTACAATATACGGAAGCTAAGATTGGGTTGTATGTGACAGGTATGATGCGCTGTTCATGTTGCATGCTATCTGAATGGAACCCGAAATACGATATTTGAAATTTTGTTCCAAAGACAGCTGGCATTCTAACGGATCGTTACAAATGGAACATAGCCTGATGAAGGATCCAGTGGGATCCGAAAACGTTAGCATAAGCAATTGAACATATTTCACACTGGTTATAGGTTTGTAGAAAGTTTATTATTTTTATAAATTTTTATTGCATTTCTTAATAATGTTTTTTTATAATTATATAAAGTATTATTTATTAATTACATTACGTGTTGCCTACCCTAGATATTCTAAATCTTTTGGCCAATGAGTTGAAACCGACTTTGATATTGAGGGCATGCTTCAAGCTGTTTTCAATTTTGTCTTTGTTGTCGAATTGTGCCTTTGTCATGGATAGCATGACGTTGGATACAAGGCAACTTGTCTACCCATTTTGATTTAATTTATTTAAGACTTTCAAAGAAAACAACCCTGCAAACATATTCCAACTGTAACTAATTGAACAATTTTAGGCTTATCATAAAGAACAAACAATGGCAGCATTCAAAATCAAACCAGAGATTAACATGATGAAGAATAAACTGGCCAAAGTTCCAAATAGTATTGGCCAAATCTCATGTTGAGAATTCATTCTATGATTTGCTGCACTGCTAAACAAGGGGTTCTCAGTACCATGTAGTCTTACAAATTTGTTGTCAAGATGTTATGCTATTCACACCAACATTTTCCATTAAATTTTGAATTTCATTTCATAATAAATGTGCATATTTTTATCTCAATATCCTATTTTCCTATGTTGACTTACACAATTAATATAATTTTAGACTTAACAAAGTTAAAAATTAGATTAACTTATATTCAGTTAAGCTGTTCTCAATTACCTATATCATAGGCAATTGAGAAACAAAAAGTATAAAAATGAAGTTATGGATTACACAAAAAGAATTTAATTTCTGTTTGAGCTGTTTGCTATACACTTTTTCAGAAAATATTATCAGGATTACAATTGGTTAATGAAATTTGTATATTTTAGATAGTAAAATCTCTTTTTACATAACAAAAACAAAATTATATTTTGTTTTATGGCAAAACAAAAATTATACAAAAAACTTTAACTTCCTGACTGCATATTTAATAATATCATTGCTTCACAGATATGGGGAATACTGTTCACATTTGTGGATATTCCAATTATAAATGCTTTTTGCAATAATAAACTTGCAAATTCTTGAACAAGAATAACAAATTCTGGTAAGTGTTTTAAAGCACTATGGACAACGTCTCTATGTTCACTTTCCAAACATTGAAGATATGCCGTTACACACAATCTTGATAAATGTGGTTTTGTTTTAAGATGTTTTATTAAAAGAGTAAAGGCTAAATTTCGACACTGGGAGTTTGAATTTTGGATAAGTCTTTTAAAGTCATCCAGAAAGTAATCTAAAACTTGAACTTTCCGAGTTGCCATATTCTCTAAATCTTGAAGAGCACAACAGACTTCTTCAATGCTATGTCCCATTGATAATTTTGATCCAATGGCTGATAAATGACCCTGATTCCAAGAGCTACCAAGAGGTCCAACTTTTGAAGTACTTGGATCTCTTTCTACATATAGTATATCATGACTCCACTGTTGTAATGCAGTTCCTGTCATTATTGTTCGTAGATTGCTAACTTCAGGATATATTGAAAATAGTTCTTGAAATGATTCTTTTTGATCTTGAACAAGTTTTTGGGCATTCTGAGGATTCATTAAAAAATATTGCTTCAAAAAAAGGAGAAAACGATTTAATAATGATACAAGGTCCCTATTACATGGAGCATGAATCTGAAAAAATTCTATATATAATTTAAAAATCTCATCTAAAGATGTGACATATTGCTGTTTAAAAATGTATGGAGATAGTAATTCTAATAATCCTAAAATGCATGTGAAAAATGTTACATGGTTTCTTGCTCGCGATGCAATATATTCTGTACTTACTCGTCCTCGCAATAATACCGTTAACATTGGCAACTGTCTTAATAATAAAATGGGATGAGCAGATGCAATTTTTCTGCATATAAGATCTAAATCAGTCATATGTTCATAACAATGTTTTGAAGAGTCTGCTGCTGCTAATGAAGTTAATAAAGTATGAGAAATAACATCTAACTTGCTGAAGTTATTTGTTGTCATTTCAATATCTTTGAACAAAGTAGAAATATCAGTTATGTCTCTTATAAGACTAGGAATTTGAAAATACATTTGTAAAAACAGTTGTTGTGCCATTTCTATTTTCAATTTATCTTCAGTCTTTGCTATGATATTCACAAGATGAGACACAGCAGCATTCAATGTATGCTCAAAATTACAACATTTTAGTAACAACTGTAACCTATTCATTATTACTATGTTAGTTTCAAAATTAGGAAGCCTTTGATCTTTTTCAATTGCTTCTTCTATAATATAATCTATAACACAACATATTTGTGCTTCATCAGGAACCAAAACATTTTCAGTGTAATGTTTTGGTGTTTTTTTAACCCTTCCTTGCCATATTTTTGGAATATGCATACATGCCCAAAGAAAATCTAATACTGCTGAAGAATGAAATTTACTTTTTATATTTTCATTTGGACTGAGAACTAAATTAATGCAGTAATGAAGTGTTCTCCAACCTGCTTGGTGAGTAAGTAATGCTAACAAATATGGACGAAAAGGTACAGGAACTTCACTAGTTTTCACATTGTTTTCTTTTCTGAAAAAAAGTAGAGTTTGTTGAAATTCTGGACAGGAAGATATAATTTCTGGTTCCAACTGTTCTATCCAATCTACAAACAAACAAAAAACTGGATCGGATTTAGAAATAGACAATGTATTTTCAATAATTAATTTTGTCATTGCTTCTATTAATACTCGTGTTTCACTTCTCATTACTGATTCTTTGACTAATATTTTCACTGCTTCTTCTAAATAAGCAGGCTTATCTTTAAGTAATGCTTTAAATACTTCAATAATTGAATTTACATCCAACTTATCAGATGATTTTATTTTATTTAACTTTTGTTGCCAATCTTCAATGCATGAAGAATTATCAAAGCTACATAACTTATCAGTAAAATTTTTAATTATTGATAAAAATGATGACTTTTTTGGAGAATGTGATACTATTTGTCTACAAATCCAAAGCAATTTTAAAGTTAATGGGGATGAAACACTAGAGTTTGCTTGAGAAATCAAAACTATTTTAAATAAAGCAGAAGAATAAGAAATTTTATTATGGAGTGCCTGAATAAATGCAATTTTATCTTCACTTCTTAAGATTTGTTCACAAGCTATGATAAATTCTGAAACAGAACTACTGTCTGATTTATTTAATATACACTGTGATAATGCTTTCTGCAGACGTTTGAATAGATCTTGTTGTTGCCTTGATGTAAGGATTCCTGCAGATTTGTCAATAAGAAATAACTGTAACAAAGAATGATGAATAACTTTTGGTGATAGTGGAGTGGGTGGTTTTGGTGGTGCTCTTTGAATAACAGGTGTTTGAGCTGGAAGAGGTGAGCTGTCTTCTAGTTTCACATTATCATCATCTCGATCTAACAATAACTGAGCAAATTTTGTGCCACCTACAGCCCCTCTCTGATGTTGCACTTCGACCAATTGTGACATGTAAGCTTTATCAACAACAACCTGTTCTACAGCTGAGCTATCATATTCCACTGCTAAATCAAGGGTATGAAGAAGTTTACTCATACTACTTACAGGCAATCCAAATGATTGAACAAACAGTACTAACTCATCTGGCTCAAGATCTTTTAGAGCAGCATCTACAAGTATATCAACTGAAGAACGAATCATTCTTAACTTTAACCAGTCTGGTAACAATTGTGCTTCTTCAGATGTATCTACAAGAAATGCTTGGGGAGGATTACAATCAGAAGGAAACCATGTTTGCAATAATTCATAAAACTGACTGGGATTATTAGGTGGGCCATAAGTGAGTAAAATGATCATAGCATGCACAACAAGAATATGCATTGTGGCAGCTTCACCTGTTGACCAATGAACTAAAATATGACCTTGAGATGAAGACCACGAATAAGCTTCTTTCGATGGCTCTTTAGCTTTCCTTAAATATTTTATAAAAATATCAGATATTGCAATGAGAAAAGTATTATTGTTGTTGGCATAATTGAGGTCTTGGGGAAGAATGCAATTAATAATTGGCCGCTCCACAATCAACTGTGCCATATCTAATGCTAAATCAGAAAAATCTTGCAAACTGTCATCTGGAGTGTTCATTGATAAAAAGCAAACATATGCAATAACAGCTGCTGGATCATTTTCAACTTTACAAGCTTGTCTCAAGGCATGACTAATTTGTATTTTAACAGCTTCAAAATGAGGAAGTAGAGGCAAATGTTTCAAAATCCAATTATATTCTCCACTTGCATCTTTATCAAATAAATCATCATCATCAGAACTTGGTGATTTATTAGGTTGAGATAGCAATAAATTTAATGCTTTAACTGAAAGTGATCTAGCACTAAATTGTTGAGAGCTCAGCCTCCTCATGAAATAATCTAGAACTTCACTTGTTGGTAAAGCATCTTCACTTGGATTATGTAAAAGATTTTGTAAAAATTGCAAAAGTTGTTGCTGCTTTTGTTTCTTTCGATTTTTTACTTTTTCACCTTTTTCATTTTTAATTTCATCTTTTGAATCTTCATTATTCTCCAAATTTAATGCACCATTTGAACTTTCATTTAAAAGAAATTCACATAAACATTGAACTGGTAACATATTAAATGAACCCTCACTAGATTCAACTAGTTCAGCAAGCCATGGCATTGAACGTGAAGTTCCTTGTCTATGTATAATATCAAGAAGAAAATCAGGATTTCTACTATGACATAATAAATGCCCTATTTTTAAAGTTTGGTTTAAAGACTTTAATTGTTCCATTACTGCTGCAGGTGGTTTTCTCACTACACCACAAGGATCCATTGTTATTAATTTTGATAATAATAAACTATTGTGCTCAGTAATAGTGACTTTAGTTGACGCTGCTGCAAGATGTATTTCAAATTCTAATATTTTATCACGTTCAAGCTGTGAAATTTGTAATTCTGTATTACACATTTCATCAGCTTTTTCATCCATAGCCATCGTTGGAGGTGGAAATATTATCTGATTTGTTATACACATTTCCATCATGCTCCTAAGGGTAGGGTAATTTTCCCATGCAACTCTACCATAGGTAGAAGGATTATGAGCTACAATTATTAACAACATTATCCATGCTTTCCAATAAAGTTCAGAAATTGCTAGATTTGGTGGATGATATCCCTGTGGAAGGCTGATGTTTTCAGGATGATGATATGCAGAAAGATTAAATAAAGCTTCAAAAATTTCATTTCTTTCAATATGTATAACAGAACTACTGCTGTCCATGTGAACTGAAGCAGCACGCTTAATTAAATGATCAGCTAATTCAATTGTGTCAGCAGCATTAAGAGGATGGTCTCTTGATAAACCTATAATCAATATTCTCATTAGTGTCTCTTCAAGAACTGGTACCTCAGAAGCTAAGCGAAGCATCAACATCCTATCGGATTCTGGAGGCCAATTATCCTTATTACAGTAATGATCTGCTTGTTCCATGAAGAAGGCTTTATGAAAACAATGTACATATTCATTCCTGTTTGGTTTAATCATTTTTGGAACAACTGTATGCATCCAAACAACCACATCTTTTTGAATATTAGCAACTAATGTCTGATAATTCTTTAATATTGCAATATCTTTCTTATCTCCTCTGTTATAAGCAATAGCAGCATCGCGAACTGCAGGACTTATAGCTAATAGAATTGCTAAAGAAATAAGGTCAGTTATAGAAAGAAATAAACGTTCTCTAAGTTGCTGATCTAGTTCCTTATACATCAATTCTTTTCTTTCCTGAAGTAAACCGCAACAGAATGCAGAAAAGTTGAGATCATGACGAACAGTGCGAACTATTTCTCTAAATAAAGCTCTAAGAGCTCTTAAATAATCATCGCGATTAATAAGAAGATCCTGAAAAACTTCGGCTAAAACTTTTGCAGCACGTTTAGATGAATGCTGAAATATTATTCCAAGTAATTGCATATTATTTGGATTACGAGCATTAGATAATTCATTATAAATAGCATGCTTTAACACAGTGCATAAATTTTCACAATGTTGATTTAATAATTCTTTCATGCAAGCAAAAAAATGATTAATGACAGGCTTAGTTTTCAGACGTATTTTTATCAGCAGGCTTATTATATCAACATCATGTTGATTATGTTGACTACAGTTTAAACAAACAGCTAATAACAAATCTTGTGCAGGTCGTGTTAATTTTGGATTCTGAAGCCACATTTCAAGTTTTTGAGCTACCATTAATCTTACTTCACTTATTCCGCACGTAGATACCAATAAACGAATAGTATTACGGGATATCTCCATGGGCTGTCTTCTTGTCAATTGATCATGAAGTACCTCTAAAATATATTTTTCTATACTGTCTTCAATATGCAGATATCTAGGAATAACTACAATGTTTTCTAAATTTTCTCTACATTCTAAGCTCAAACTTGATGAGGATGCTTCATCATCATCTGTACCAATAGTAGGAGGACTTGGACAAGCATCAGGTCGGAAAGAACGTTCAGGAGCGAGCATACTTTTTGGTGGAATCTTAGTATTAAATGCCGTAAGAATATTATCAACAAATCCTTTGCAATCATCATGATCGACCCAAATTCGTTCTCCCAGTGAATCTTCAACATACACTTTAATAAAACTTTCCGGCCATCTACCTTCATCGTGGTGTGATGCCATTAACACATTTGCAGCTAAAATCGAAACCAAATTGTTCCCTTTTGTTTTAAAATTTACGCTAACATCTCGTTTTAATAAACTGCAAAATGCTTCTACCACCATTTTATTTAAAAACAACATAGGCCTGGACTTTGCTAAATACATAAGACTCAAATAAAGAGATGGCTCAGGCTTTGCTCTACTAATCTTCAGATGCTTTACAGATCCCAACAGCATTAATTCCACTTTGTTGTCGTCACCCATATCTTCTGCTTCAAATATTTTATTCAACAGTTCTGACGGATCGACTTCAATGGCTATTGAATCCCACTGGTCAGTTTTTCCCGATTCATGCTTGCCATGACTACTTAATCTTCCTATCGGTGTAATCGGTGGGACCGATGAAAGTTTCTGCTTTTTTGTCGGTATACCGGATGTTGACGACGACGAAGAGCTTTCTCTTTTTCTTTCACTGGATGAACTGGTTGATCCAAGCACTTTTGGAGTTACTTTAGTTTCAGGAGTGTCTGTTCTAGCAGATTTTGTACCCAAAGCAATAAAATCACCTGGAGGAAAAAGCGCTTTTACCTTATTTGGTCCTCGTTTTAAGGCTCCTTTTGTTTTCTCTCTATCCATGTCTTCTTTTCATTCGGTTTTAATTCTAATTTAAAAATTAATAATTTTATTTATTAAATTTTTGTAAAATTGTAATTAATTAATAAAACACAAAAAACTTGCCTATTGAAAATCTGACGTGTCCAATATTTTTAATATATACAATTTAATTCAAATCATCTGTTAATATAGATTTTTCTTATTATAAAACGCAGTCCGAAACGATCTTCCATAACACCACAAACAAAATGACATCATTTAGCCTCTTCTTAGTACTGTTGTAGATTATAGCCTTCTCGGCTTTTTCTCCGATAAGCGGCATTTAGCCTCGTTCACAATCTCCATGATAAAAGTGAGTGGCATAGAATGAGTCATCATCAAATAGACCTTCAATTTAAATTATATTTATCGAATTAATAAATTTTATGACGTAACGATAAAGTGGACTTTATATANAACGATTCATTTATATCTTACATTAATATGGAAAACACTTAATTACTAATTTAAAAAATAATATTAAACTTTAACAAGTAAAATATTATGAAAAGTAAGGCAAAAGTCTTTTCGTAATATTCAAATACTTATTAATATGAGTTTCAAAAGCATAAATAACATTCACAGCATCAACAGCATCTGTATGCAACAGCATAAACAGTATTCTCATAATCAACAACATTAACGTTTTTGTCTATAAGTCCTTTATTGATGCAAATTTTACAGTTTTCTGTGTTTTCTTCTACTGCTACTAAGTTGTCATTTCTCTTTTTCTCATCAATAATTAGTATGAATTAAAACTTAAAGCATGATTCACATAAACTCCGTGAAGTAAATACCTCAATGTTTATTCTGATTCACAAGAATTAATTAGGTTTTAGGTTAAATTTAATATTGATAATTTTAAATTTCGTGGTTATTTATCGTTCTGTAAACCGGCTGTTGAAAGCTTTGATTAAATCTTAATTAAAATATGCACAATTGTGTAATCCTCTGAATTTTTTATTTTCAAAAATAGATGAAAATATCATTAAATAAGAATATAAATTTATTTAATAAATTATGGTGAAATTTTTGCGTTAATATAGGATTAGATTTGAAAATTATAAGTTCCTTTCTATATCATTGAATTAATTATTAAATTTAATTAATTTACGGGCATCATTTTAAAATTCTTAAATGTTTGCCTTAATATAATTTACATCATTTACAATTTAGCATCGTATTTGTTATATTTCTATAAACAATCCTTGTTAAATGATCTTTCCAAGAAATCTGATTCAAAGGTTTCTTGTATCATTTCAAATTAAAGGTAGCCTATTTGTTTGAGATTTAATTTTCTCCTTTGTTTATCGATAAATTAAATAAAATTTTAAATTTCTGAGTACTCGTGTTGCTAGTTATTATCGAAAGACAGACTACGAGAGTAAGTCTTCCTGAAAGGTTTTGGTTCCAGTAGCCATTTTCGCTTGAGACGATATTCGGTTGCGAATTTGATTTATTCGAAGTGAAAAGTCGTAGAAATTGTTTGCTGATACGGTTTAGCTCGTATCTAAAAGAAGAAATATGAGTGATAGAGAGGTGAGTGGAAGTTATTGGTATTTTTTTCATTCGAAATATTGTTTTCTTAGAACAATGGTTTGAGCGTTCTTTTGACCAAAGGAAATGAGTTTATTAATATAATAAAAATGGAACTTTTGTTATTTTATTTTAACTTGCTTATTTATATNAAATAATTTATATTCAAATTACATCATTTCTATAACCAAGGGCGGCGTAAGGCATGGACGACGTGGGCCACCGCCTATGCCTCGCGGTCCGAAGGGCCTCGCGCCTGGAAGGTTTATGCATTACTTAAAAGCCGTGAACGCGACGAAAAAGTTTTACTCGTCATAAAACGATAAATAGTTTGTCAAATTTTTATTCATAAAAATGCAGTTCAACTGCTTTTTATTTTATAAAATCCGTCTTCTTGCGCCACCAGAAGGCCTTTTAAACAATAGGTAGTCTGGTAGCGTTGGTCAGTAGTAGTCCAAATTCGATACGAACGTTTGTTTCTTGAAAATTTGATCACTATTTAAATACAGTATTTACTTTTAATATTACCGATATGTCATCGAAAAGAAAACGTGTTGTATTATCATTAAAAGACAAATTAAAGTATATGCTTCCATTATCCGGATTTTTCCTTATCCGGACTACCTTCATCCCCAATTAGTCCGGATAATCGAGGTTCTACTGTAATTCAATATATTTGTAATAGGAATTTATTATTGTCACGGAATGCCTGTAATGTTCACTAGGGGGCGAATAACGAAAAACCACATAGATTTGAACTGCTACGATAAAACAATAATGTTTAAAATAGTTAAGGTAATATTTTAATATAAAAATAGAAACCTTTCATGCCACGACCAAAGAAATACGCCACTGTGGAGCACCGGATCGCCCACTAGAGGGCGACCCGGGCTACTAGTATAATAATATACTACACTAATAATGGATTTTTTCATAATTTTCGGTTATCCGACTTTTCAATTATCCGACCAACCCGAGTCCCCAATTGAGTCGGATAATCGAGGCTCTGCTGTATAGTCATCATAAATCCTAGAGAACGAAACATGAAAACATCCGTGTTTCTGTGTTGTCTTATTTAGCTGTCTTTAAGTGCTCATTATTGGCGTTTTCCACATTAGTTTTAATATCTGCCATTTGGCATTATTGTCAGCACCACTCGATATTGGTAAATTTAACATAAATCTTTTCTATTATCGCAAAATAATTTTAATAACTGTATTTGTTATTTAACCTTAAAAAATCATTTTATTTTATAATGTCTTAGAGAAACCACATTCACAAATAGAGAGTCTGCAATGTACTGTAAAACATCACCAAATTGTAAATATGTACAGTACATTTACAAGTATGTACTGTACATATGTGTATTCATAAATTTAGATCACTTTTTTTTTCTGTAATATATTAAAAACTAAAATTTGTTTGTAAGCTTAAAATAGATTCTTATTAACCATATATTATTAAAAATGCATTTATAAATAAAATACAGAACTGGGAATGGTTATTTGTGGTTTAGTCTAGTGACAAGTAAATTCAACTTACATTATTTTTCGACTTAAGTTGCCTCTCCTGGAACCAATTACCGACGTAAGGTGAGGTATACCTGTATTCATTTCGTGGTCTTACAAAAAGTATAGACTACTAATTTTGTGGAAATATTAGCTATAGAATAAATGTTTTAATGATTTGGGATTGATGATCGCACTTACATTGCAGTGACCTCAGTGACCACATGACATTCATGCTTGATAAGGAAATTTTCCTTAAGTTGCCTTTTTAAATATTTTGGCAAATGGCATATTTTAAACTTACTTCATTAAATTTAAAATTTAAAAAAAATAGTTGCATTATGTCACTTCTATTACAAATTTTTTAAAAATCTTTCTATAGTGACCATGTGATGTTCTATTTTCCAATTGGAAGTAACAATCTAATGAGTTTGCTATTTAGAAAATGTTATCACTCATAACCTACTGGTACACACAATTCATCTTTGTTTTATCAATGTGAATTAAAGAGAGACACTATTTTGTCAAAAGAAAATAAAGAAAAAGATGTCTAGGGGAAAGAATAAGAGTAAAATTGGTCAGGTAAATTCTAGATCTAAAACAGTAACAACTGAAACTACCGAAGGTCATGAAGTCTGACTTGAACAAATAAGAATGGCTTTGTCAAGTCCTACAGAAACAGCATTATGTCGTTAAGCTTGATTTTAAGCTCTTCTCAATTCTTCAATCTCTACTTTTTTGTGAAAAATATTTCATCATGCTTGACTGGGGAATTTCTAGTGACAGGATGTTATGTTTAAAATCCAAGTTTCATGGGTCATGCTAGGGCTTCTTGTCTGGTATCAACTTAGGACATTTGGGGGACTTAGTCTGTAATGTGTTAGCTTTGTTAAAACAGCCTTGATGAATTGTATTTTAACTGCCCTATTTCCTCAGTTATAATAATTCTAATAGTTTTTTGTTTGTTTGAAGTAGAAGTGCATCTTAGAATTGATAGCATCATATATTCAATGTCAAATGCAACAATCAAGCTATTGTAAGCAGATCACATGATGCTTTATGCACCAATAATAGATTTTTTTTTGGCTATACTGCTCAACAACACTTTAGTTTACATGACATTTACTCATAACAGGCATTTAAGCTTCTTTTTAGTATCTAAAATGTCTTCAAGATGACATGCACATGCATGACCTAAACTGAACATCAAAATTATTCAGTTTGACGTGAATTGAATGCTCAAGCTGGATGTACTTTTTCATTTCACTAATCAAATGTGGCTGATCGGCAACAAATAAACCATCAGATGGTTTGATGTTCACAAGTTATTTGTTGATTTTTAACAATTTATTCCCATAATTTGTCAACAACTTTTGGGTGTCCCATATGTTCTATCCTTTAGTTTACTAAAGGATAGAAAACATATGGGACACCCAAACTTTCAAAACCAAACTTGACATGTCCAGTGTTTAGGAGTATCTTCCCTATATGCACTACAAGTATTTATTGCAGTTTGTATCACATTATATCCTTTACAAAACTTAAAAAATCTAGCAACAAGAGTTGTGTAACTTTCTCGGCTGTTATGAGTTTTTATTTTAAAAACTTTTATATTATTAAGCAAAAAAATAAAATTGTGTGTGGCACCATCTATTATCAGATTGTTATAAAAAAATGTTTATATTTTTAATTAGTGTAAAATGGTAAAAACCTTACTTTTGAGAGTAGAGCTGAGTTTTATTTAAAAAAAAAAAGTGTAAATGTTAATAATGAATAAAATTTTCATTAAGTCCTACCCCTCTCTATTTCTTCACTCTCTTCACCTTTTACAACCAAAATTTAATATTGATGCTCCTTATATAAGCCATCATGCCAAATTTTGTTTCTTAATCTTTACCCTATCCTGAGATATTAAATGAAATAGACACACACATGTGGAATTTTATTCTTATTCAGGAGGTCTCAAAAAGTGGATATTTGCAAAAAAAACTTTGAGGGTCAAATTTGACATGATTCCAGTACTTCCCAGTTGTTATGTATACATAACAAGAGAAAAGTAAAAGCATAAATAATATGCCTGATATGCATTTAATCTTCAGATGTTTTGATTTTAATTTTATGCAAACAAAATGTGAAGTTAAATTTTAAAATAAGCTTCTAAACAAAGAATACAATCTCACATTAGCAATAGTGTGTTAAATTTCACAACTATTTTAATTAA